TAATAAAATTTAATTTACGTAGTCTATCTGCGTTTTTATTATGTTACCTCATTATAAAAAGCTGAAATTAAATAAACAATCATTAAAATTAGGCAGTCCATTTTAATTGTTTGAAATTAACTTACAGATATACTCGTACCCGGTGTCAACGTCCGCGTAATTATTTTCACGCCATAGGCGCCGGGTTAAATTTTAACTGTATCTATACTTTGCGCCATTTGATCGAAATTTCAAAATGTGACATTTGAGTCTGGCAACAATATTTTCGAGTTCACCCAGATTCAGTGATTGGAAATTTTTCATATTAGTAACGAACATTCGGATTCGTAACGAACATTCGGATTCGTAGATTTTCTACAAAGCATTCAAAAATCGACTCGATTAATATGTTAAAATGCCACAATAACGCAATAAAAATATTGAAAGTAAATTATTTTCTTAATTTATTTCACTCTGTTTGTTCACCTTGTTTTATCTTCATAAAATTTTAGTCAAGCTAATCGCTTTCACAAAAAGATAGAAAAACCACGGCCGTTTTTGTTAAGCAACTGTTGCGCATTGCAGTTGATACCTCGACCGGTCTCATTACATTTCCCACTGATTTCTGCTAGTTGGCGGAATCGAAGCATTCGATTAGGGATGCAAATTTCGAGGAATAACATCGATACATTGATAATTCCAACGCAAAAATTATTACTATTATTAGTATTATTATCATTATTATTATTAAATCCTAGTTAATTTTAAGAAGACTTTAGTAATTTTGAATCCCAACCAGTGCAGTCTATTGAAATGCAGTTGGAGAAATACTTACATATCGCATACCGTCTTCAAAAGAGTCACAACTCAAAATTTGGCATTTTTGAAATTATGCGCTAAAAATATACACAGACCTTTTATTTGCCTTTCAGCAAAAGCTGGAGCAAATTTTTGTTATAATTTGTTAAAAAAAAACCTAAGCTTAAGTCGTCCTTGCCCATATGATTAACATGTGCTACGAAATAGTTTTTCGCATTTTCTGACGAACGTATTATTTTGAGTTGTGACTCTTTTGAAGACGGTGTGCGATATGTATCTTCCTATATTTTTATGTCCGCGCTCATTAGAAAATAAATTCGTAAGGGTGGTGGGCCTAAATTTCAGGCCTGGGTTTATTGCTAGTTAAAAGCTCGAATAAATATCATTTTCCGTCACTATGGAATTATATGTATGTCGCAGACGGTTGGTCGGCCTTATTTGATAATTTGTTAACATTCCCAATCTTTCAGCCTAGCCACCATCATGTTTCGTAGCATCAACCAACCTCGAATGTGGAATGAAACGAAATGGGGCTGCGAATTCCGTTTTTTATTCAAACGCGCATAGCAAAAACAAATAACTAGTAGTAACTTGATTTTGTTGTTCTTTCTATTTTAAAATTCTTGAAAGAACAACCTTTTAAGCACTTCTGCACGTTTTTTTCTATATTGTTTCTAGCAGCCATAAAGTAAAATTTTATTACAATAAGGTAGCAAAAATTGTGAAAAAATAGTTACACAAAACCTTAATTTTTTCTACTTAACACAAAACAAGTTACTTGTTTTTGTCGTGTCACAAGAGTAATATTGTCGATTTTAATATGTTAGAAAAAAATGAATTCATGATCACTTATAAAATCTTCTAATGAAATCAATATCGCTAGCTTAGAGTAAAAAAGTTGCTAAGTCCCATTTTAAAAAATTTATAGGAGAGGAAAAAACTTCTTGTAGCCATTTTCTTCAAGTATTTCGCAAAACTTTAAATACAACATTCTGCCTGTTTAAAGCAAAGAAAAACTCTATACGAATCAGAAGGACTCCATCTTTAATAAACGATTACGTACTATTTTAGCCTTATCGGATTTTCGGTGCTTTTTGTAAACTTACCAAATTTTCCTTTCATTTAATATAAACGAGAATAAACAATACATTTTAAATTTCACTAGCCTCCTGTATCAAAATATGAGTTTTCATAAAAAGTGGACTTAGCAACTTTTCACTCTAAGCTAGCGATATTTATTATATAGGTGGCACAAAGTTCACTGAAATGCCAATTCCACTTTTTTCCAAAATTTAGTTTTTGATGCAGAATGATAGATAGTGCGAGACTACATCGATTTTTCGTCTCTCCTGAACAATTTCAAAAAATTAACTTGGCACCTTTTCACCTTTAGGTAACGCGATATGTACAATATACTTCTAGAATCTAGAGTAAAGTATAAACATTTCATGAGTATCTTCTAAATTTATACTTAGAAACGTTAAGTTTGGTGCCAGCACCTCTTTTGGCATGAGGAAAAATTTTGGAAGGTGCCCCGAACCCTACCTTGGAAAAATTGGCTTGGACCACTCTAATGTACATATGTAGATATGTATATAAAAATCAAATGTTTAAAATAATCGAATTCGAAATTAGAATAAATGTAAGTAGATATGGGCGCATGCAAATTTTAAAAAGAGATTTTGCGAATGTATTTCTTTTTTCAAAGGCAACAAACTTTGTGAATATAAACTTAAAATTCAAATTTTCTATTTTCTCGGCACAATCAGCTATGGTCAAATTTACGTTTTTCGATTTATTGCTAATATCACTGGGACTTTTTTATAAAGTTTTATATATATTCCATAGAGAGCGAAAAAATCCACATTTTCGTTTCCCCTTTTCTGACAAGTGAGTTAGATGCAAATTCTTTTAGATTACGAAAATTTCTGTAATTCTTTGTGATATCAGACAAAAATCACTTAATATCAATATATTTTTCGGTCGTGGGTCGTAACAACATCAACAGTGGTCGCCCTCGCCCCTCGGCAGGCAATGGCGAATCTCCGAGTGTATTTTTGCCATGAAAAAGCGAATCATAAAATCAGTTTGCCATTCGGAGGCGGCGTAAAATTGGAGAAGAAGCTCGGCCAAAGACTTAGCAAAAGAGTGTAAACGCAACAATATTTGTATTGTTATTATTGGTTATTCAAAAAAAAAAATTTTCATGTATAGCCGAACTCGCACGAGGTTTTAAAACGTCAAAATAAATCTGCATCTTATTTAAAAAAAAAAAAGCCAGTTGAAACTGACTTAGGTACTAACTGTTTGTTTTAACGTTATGACACCGGTATTTTTTAATACGCAACTCTGTCATTAAAATATTTTTCAATTAAAGCCACTTGAAAATCAGAGATAAGGATCTTTCAAAGCTCTTTGTGTACAAGCATTCGTCATCTATTTTAACTAAGTTTTCGGGCTACTTCTTATGAAAATTCATATTTATTTTATTAATATTAATATCTTTTAAAAATATGAAGAAACACTTAAAACTGTATCAATTTTTTTCCAAAAAGTTAAGCATCATAAAAAATATACGTGTCTACTTATTTTCTTAAGATGTTTCTATATGTATGTTTTTCTCTACACGTGGTTTGGTTACAGTTACTAAATCTTGTGTCGAGCGAAATATATTTAGATTACTCTTTTCTGAGTGCACTTACGGGATGTAGAATTCTTAACCCTTTCAGTACAAAAAATCAACCGTTTAAGCTAAAAATCTTAAAATTTGTATACCGGCTAATTTTTGGTCATTGATTTCAAAAATTTTATAAAACCGTTAGGTTTACCGTTATTGAGCGTCCAATATATTGGACGGAAGTTTTCTAGGTTTGCGAAATTAGAAATTATTTTGATTTTTTTTTTCTTGCGGGAAATATATTTCAAAACAAACAATAATTTTTATAATTTACAGAAGATTCAATAAAATTTTAGCAACAAAAGCTCTGATTTTCTAAAAAAAAAGAACTTTTAGCGCGAAAAAGCGTGTCCAATATATTGGACACTTCTACTGAAAGGGTTAAAATAAGGCGCCCATAATAAAAAGGCCGTGGCGATATGGGTAGATGCTAATACGAATATGTATGAAGATTGCAGTGAAGTGTTAGTGAAACAAAATTTAAGAAAACACCCACCACTCAAATCTGTTTCCGAAAAACGAAAAAAAGTAAACGCTTCATTATTTTTTACGAATTTGTTTAAAATAAACTTTATTTTACGACTTCATATACTATACTTATTTACACACGGCTTTTTCGAGCTTAGAAGCAAATTAATTTAATTTAATTATGTCTAATTCACAATTAACAATATTGACTTCCCACTTAAAATAGTTTTCTCTTTTTGTGTAAACAGATCAAACGAATTTAGATCTATAAAATAATATGACTAAGTTTTACTTAATATTTTACACTTAAACACAATAATTTAGTTGTATGTAAAAAAAAGCAAGCACAAAAGGAATTTTCCATTTCATTTATCACAAATAAATTTGTTGTTCTCCTTTTAGTACAGTGTGATATTTTGCAAAAACTAAGGGGAGAAATTAAGCTTAAGAAAATTTTTAACATTTGTTGCAATTAAAAATTTATTAAATTAAGATTTTTTTAGTAATGTTTACATTAGCACTGGATTTTAAAAGAAAAATAATTTGTAATTTATGTAAATAATATTGGATTAAGTAATTTTTTTTTTAGAATTTTGATTCTTCATTTGTGATAAGCGAAGACATTTCTAATTTCGCTCAAACTTTTGGTCTACATTTTGTTTTGTATCCTAGTGTTTACATACAGGTTTGAAAACAATGAGTTGCTATTGCCAGTTTTCTGTTGTTGTGTAGGTGTGTGTGTGTGTGTAGCTTGAGTCTCTACACCCGAAAAGTGCCGAAAAGCGCTGTCTAAACAAACTGAAACGTACATACTAACTAAACTTGGATTTGTTTCAGCAATTTTATCAATATCTATGTATGTAAAATATTGAATATCTACATATAAATAATTTACCTTCGGCTTAGGTATGTATGAATATGAGTGCGCGTTGTTCGGGCACTTAGCCCTTCACAAAACATGTGACCGTCACCGTTACAAAATATTTTGTTTGTTTTTAATATTTGCTGTGCACTTTTCGTCACTTTTTGGTGCATTGTTGATGGCGCTATTTAGTTGTTTGCAATTAGGTGGCTTTCGACGTTGTTTCAGCGCAATTTATGAAATTAAACTGAATTATTTGGTATTTTTAAATGTTTTTTTACAGTGTGAAGTTATGTTTTTAATTAAGAATGTCTTGATGTTGTTGTTGTTGTTGGTTTTGTTCTATGCGATTACCCACCGTTGCGCTCGTTTTGCAAAAATTTACAATTAACATTTACATTCATTAAACTATAAATTATTGCATGCATTTTTTAACATTTAATTCAGATGCTTACAATTTTTTGCCATTTTTCACATTTGCTTATCCTAAATGCAAAACTCTATTTTATTTTAATTTGTTTTTCTTAAAAACATCACTTAGTTTCTTGTTTGATTTTAATTGCATTAATATTTGCAAGTTTTAGAAACTTTCGAGTTTGTTTTTTTTTTGTTTTTTGCGTTTTATTTTTTGCTTCGATTATACATTTAATTCAAGATGTTGTTGTTGTTTTTGTTGTCTACAAGGAGAGCTTAAGTAGATCGTTATTTAGTACTTCCATACATCAACTGTGTAAAATTCTTTCTATTAAAGACTACTGCTACTTTTTATTCGGTTGTTACTTCATTTTTTTATTTACTTCATTTACTTAATAATTTTAAGTTAACACAGATTAATGCACTGGTATAGCTCTGGCAAATGGCGTACAACCGTCCACATACTTATTAACAAGTCTATTTAACTGGCCCACTGCCCTCTGAGCGATTCGTTTGCTCCCGTTTGGCGTTTGATTCTATGACTCGATCGTTGGGTCATATGGTCCTTTTTCAATAACAAATTCAGACCTTAACTGCACGCGTGGTGAGACCGCTCTTCTGCCTTACCGCTGTCATTTGGTTTCCCTATACGCCGCAACGTTTCAAAGCGCAGCGCCTAGTTCCTGGCTGATTTTCATCTTACGCGCTTCGCTTAAGACGACTCATACCCGAACCAGGCGGCCGACGCTGCCGCTGCGGCGGACGTGTGCTATTCACCGCTTCCGCCGAAGGAGTTGAAGTGCCTTACGCTTGGTGCCGCGGCACCGAATTGTAAACTCCATTCGAAGAGCCGGCGGGCATGTAGCTGTTGTTGTTGCTGCTGATGGTGATGCTGTTGCTGGTGATGATGATGATGCTGGTGTAGCGAATGCGGGTTTAGGTTGAGGTGATGCATGCCCGCCGCACTGCCCACACCCAGCACGGAGGACGCGGAGGAGGGCGATGAGGATGGCGCTTGCAAGGCGCCGCTACTGCTGCCTGCGCCGGGTGATGTTTGCGGCTGTTGCAGATGTTGGTGATGGGCGGCGGGATGTTGCAGCGCTGGGTGCTGCTGATCGCTGGTGTGAAAGAGGTGCGGATGGTGCGCGGGATTGAGGTGCGGGTGTTGATGTGGATGGTGGTGCTGGTAGCGCATCGGATCGATGTACATAGCGGCGGCTGCAGCGGCCGCTATCGATGACGCTTGCTGTTGCTGCTGTTGTTTCACCTGAGCCAAGTGATCACTATCGTTGTTATTGTTGTTGTTATTATTATTCGTACTGTTGTTGTTATTGTTATTATTGTTATTCGCAGCCAGGCCCGCACCGATGGGCGATTGCGGCGACAGCACATTGGTCGTCATCGTCGCCGAGGAGCCCGCAGACGACGACGGCGTATTTGGCGTATGTTGGCTATGTGGCTGGTGCTGTTGCTGCTGGTGTTGTTGCTGTTGTTGCTGCTGATGCAGCGATGCAGGAGTGGACGCAGCTGCAGCTGAGTTCGACTCCTGGATTTCTGATTGCTAGTGAGCCGCTAACTGATGCCCCCCCGCGGACTGCATGTTTTGTGGGCTAAGCATGGGCGGGCTATGGCTGTGACTGTGCGTGCCCATCGGACTGCCGTGCATATCGTGATGCGGATGGTAGCCGGCGTGCGGATGCATGTGACCCGGTGGCATGCCGTCCATCATATCGCCGCCCATTGTGTTCGGCGGAGTCATGCGCTTCTCCTTCTGCCGTCGGTTGCAGAACCACACCCGCACAACCTCCTTCTCTAGCTGCAGCGAGTCCGCTAGCGAAGTGATCTCTTGGGCTGATGGCTTCGGCTGCTTATGGAAATGTTGCTCAAGCGCGCCCTTTACACTCACCTCAATGCTGGTACGTTTCTTGCGCTTGCGTCCCTGCGCCGCGATCTTGTCGATGCTGGTCGGCGAGCCGGTTGTAGAGTCAGCCTCTTCGAGCCATTTTTGTAGAAGTGGCTTCAATTTGCACATGTTCTTGAAACTTAACTGTAGAGCCTCGAAGCGGCAAATTGTCGTCTGAGAGAAGACGTTGCCATACAGGGTGCCAAGCGCTAGACCGACGTCCGCTTGTGTAAAGCCGAGCTTAATGCGGCGCTGTTTGAACTGCTTAGCAAACGCCTCTAAGTCATCTGAAGTGGGCGTGTCTTCTTCACCGCCCGACACGTCGCGATCGCCTTGCAGGTGGTGATGTATGTGCAGCTGTGGCGACTCGCCGCGTAAGGCATGGTGGAGCGGTGCCACACCTTGGTGATGCGCTGCATGCGCTGGATGGTGCAACATACCGTTCATTGCATGGTGGTATTGCAACGGTGAACCGCCCGTCGGTGCGTAGTGGGCGGGAGCATGAACCGGTGCGTGCCATGTATGAGGGGATGCCATGCCTTGCTGAACCCGCGACTGCTGTGACAAATGTGACATTTCCTGCTTCACCGCATCTGCGGGATGATGATGTGTATGGTGTGTCATGGACGCCCAGGGATCGGAAGGATGTAAAGCGGTCCAGGGATTCGAGCCTAAGCCGCCTGTGGGTGTAATCGAACTAAGCCCTGTCGTAGAAAGACCCATCCCGCCGGCACCGCCACCCGCTCCGGACGCGCCGCCTACGACTGCATTCGGGCTGGGAGATGATGGAAGCTGATGGTGGGCAGCAGCGGCGGCGGCATGATGATGATGATGCTGCATGTACTTCATTTCGCCTGCATCGGCGGCAGACCGAGGCGATGAGGTGTGATAGCCACCGCCGCCCAGCGCCATGTCTAGGTCACCGCTGGACGGTGTCATATACGAGGTGGCGGCCATCCCCACCGCTCTAGGGCTATTCAAGCCCTCCACGCTGGCGGGGTAGGGCTCCAAGTTGGGGCTCAGTTTAACGACCTTGAAAACCGATCTATCGAAAGGAAGACCAGTGTCCCTATGCTCATTCCACTCGAACCGTGAGGCAACCGTCTTGAAGTCTTTTCGTTCAACGTACACAGGCGAGAATTCGATGACGACGATTTGTAGGGAGCAGCTCGCGACGGCTGCTCGACGCAGTGGGGGAAGTTAAAATCTGTTTAGGCACCGAAACGTGAACTGCTGTCAAGCAAAGCTTTACAGCTGCTATGCAACAAGTTGTGCGTTGCTGGAAGTTTGTTATGCCGACGGCTAATACACTGTGAACGAACCGTTGAATTGAAGGAGAAAATTGGCTTGGAAAATCGTGGCTGACTAGTAAGCGGGTGCTGGCTGTTAATTTTAATGTGAGCACTGGCAACACTGTTTTTAGCTTTTTACGGCGTTCTCACTCTCGTACACAATTTTATTTTAAATTTAGTTTTTGGTAATGCTATTAAAAAAAATTTAATAAAACTCGATTTATGTACGCTCTCCAGTCATTTAATGCACACATATTTATTATTTAATTTAAATTTTTTTTATCAGCTCAACTTGCTTTTAATTTTTTAGATATACTTTTTTCCTTAAGACCCAAACCAAAACGCAGCAAATTTTTTTGGCCGAGAGCACTGAGCGCACTTGCAGGTTTTTGTTACTCAGTTTGCGCGGTGGGCACTTTATCAAAAACACCGTTGTTTATCGCGAACGCGGCGACAACAAAATTAGTAAATTTTAACGCTTTTCGCCTTATCATATAAGATAAGATCAGCATACGCTTGCACACTTCTAAGATCAACTAACTTGCTTGATTAGCCAATTAGTTGACTGTGGTCCGCACAACAATCACTTTTTGATTTTCTTATTACAGTTTGTACGCACCAGACACGCAGAGACTCAGAAATTTTTACGTGTAAACTCATAGAGCTATCGAAGTCAACTAACGTCATGCATCGGCGGCCGAAGGCATCGGAGAGCAGCGTGCGGCAGCACAAAGCTACCACACATATGCGCTCATCTTACACAACACTCACACACATGGCACGCAGCGCACAGGAAATACATAATAGTGGTAACACGAAGAACGAGCGGCACAACGCCGACAACTGCGAAGCCAAGCAGCGCCGGCTCAGCCACGGGCTACGGCAACGATGAAGGCGACGGCAGTCAGCAAACCACCAGCGAAGCAAGCAGTGGCTGGTGCTCCGGCCAGCAACCAAACAAGCGAACGTAGCGCACGGAACACAGGCGCAACGAGCGAGTGAGCGCACGAAGCTCAAACAGAGACACAACGTAGAAGTGGTAGTGTTATCAGTGGTGGCAGCATAAGCAGTGGTTTATAGGTGTAGATAGCTACAACAAAAGCAGGCGTACTCACCTATGCCACGGTTTTGTTGTGCGAATGAGAGCGCGATAAAATGGCCGCCGAAAACAGCAGCAGCGAGAAGAGCACGATTATATCTTTGCTCTCGCCTAAGGGCACTGGATGGCACAGTAATAAATACTACAGAATGGCAGGCAGGGAAATGGCAACACCAACAACAACAAGTGGCATGTGTGCGACTCATGCAGAGAGCGTGCGACTATATTACTGTTATTCCAAGAGTCCATGAAACTACAAGGAGCGAATGAAAGAAAGCGATATACGATTTTTCATTTAAGCCGCATTGTTATTGGAAAGTAATACGCTACATTAGCAAAAACTACTCCTACTATTTACTTCTCGCACTTCTTTTGTGCTTGATGCCCGTTCGCAAGACACTTGAGAGTTTTCGCCACTTCATAGCCCAACGAAGAGAAACCGCAGCAGCAGCCGCAAATGCCAACGACAATGGAAGAGTATTTGCGCTTCACGCTCATTCACCATTTTCACCGCCTCGTTAGACTGCGATGGCAGACATTGGAGCGGCAGCACCAACCAAGCAAAATATTCGCTTGAAAGGCTTAGCTACTTAAAATTCCAACGGAACGCCTACCACATACTATTACTGACACTGTTTGCCATTGTCTAGTGCGCGCTTTTCTCTGTTTCACGGTCTTTTGGTAAGCAAGTGAGAGCGCGCAGCAACAGCGCTTCGCTTCTACCAGCCTTTAGACAAGATGCCGGCTTGCCGGGAATCTCCTATTACTACTTTTTTAAGCACAGTTGTGCCTTTTGTAGCAGCATGCAACCGCTAAAAGCGAATCCATACTGCTGCTGTTGCTGCACTATTTTATTCCAGAAATTCCATAGCCGGGAACAAATGCAAACGACATTTCCGGCCAGCAAGTATGCGAGCCATCGCATCCAGGTGGACGAGACGCTGGAACAATCAGTCCTTTTGTATACTCCGAACATTCGGTGTCTGCCCAAGATACGCGTTGCCCTTAACCGCAACAGTTGTACAGATATGTAGCTGCAGCGCGGTTTTACTTGCGCGGCTTATGAACTTTGTACGTCCTTCAGTGGCGCTATCAGCAGCACTCTATGCTGGAAAGTGCAACAGAATGGACAACGCTTTTAAATGCAAAAGTGGCGCAGAGAAAAATTTACGGTGATTTAGGAAGCAGTGATTTGCTTGCAACAAAAAGTGTGTGTGGCTTCTTAATCATTCGCTTGCGCTCCAGGCTTCAGGTTTCTTACCGGGAGTAGGAGCGGGTTGCGGCAGGCGCAGCGTCAACCATTCGCCTATGCTATCGCGGTGGTTAGCTGGTATGTGGGTGAGTGGGTGGCGGCAAGTGCAACTCACTGGCAACCAGCGCTCTTCGACATGCTGTATGTATGAAGCTTACCCACATACTTTTTTTTGTCGACGCTTTGTGCGTAACTAGCACAAAGCCTTTTACTTCTGTATGGCGTTTGTTGCTGGTGACAATCATAGCGGTAAATATATCGGCACTAATTTCAGGGATTTAACATGCTGTTGGCGGTGTTGTTCGTGTCAGTGAAATTATTATCGCTCGTTAACTAAAAGACGGGCATAAGTCAAAATCGAAATTTTTGAGCTAATGATGCAGAATTACTCGTTATATTATACTTCATATTGTGCACAAATTTCGTACTTAAATCTTGTGTAGTTTTCCCGTGAGAAGAAAGAAGCAACTCTATTTTAGTTTGGGAGTAAATTGAATACTTTACATGCGTCTACTGATAAATATCGTTTTTTGTTTTGAGTTTCGACAGTCTTTTAGTTAATGATACATATGTACCTACATAGGTATCTTCTATTAATGAAAAGTGAATTTGAAAGCGCTAAGTCACGTACAACGCTACTACAACTGTAGAATTTTCCAACATTATTTTCATATCCTTACCCATTTCAGCTTCATTCAGCCTGCAAACTGACTTCAAAACATACAAATTTGTTGCTTCTGTATGTGTGTATATGCATACATACCTATGTAATACGTGCTACACAGCTACATACGAAGACATAAGCACATAAGCATACTTTAAATTCATGTTTTTTTCCTCCGAAAGCTCGTCAATTTCAAAGCACATCCAATGTCAGTAGCGACAGGTGCATTGGTGGTAAAAAAAAATTGTGCCAACTGTCTAAATTTGCATGCAAATGGCAACCTAAAATGGGCGCACACAAGAGTGGTGGCAAGACGTGGGAGGCGGTGCCCGAGACATACAGACAAATAAACTGCCTCGTAGCAGACAGTTGGGTAGACAGACAGCTGATCGTTGCATCAAACGTTGGGGATTTCTGTCACTTCTATTTACCATGACTACCATGATGTTGGATATTAAATATACATATGTACATACGTACTAATAGATATATGTATGCATATTGAAATGTACACATTAATGTACATGCATATATAGATACATATTTACCCACAAATTTAGTGGCTCGGAATGGCCAACATTTACTTTTGCCTTAGTCATCTAACCTCGAGAATTCTTGCAGCTACTTCTATAGTTTGCATAGTAAGGCTTATCTCGAGCTAAGCGGTTTTTGAATCGATGCTTTAGTAGCATATATCACACGTATGTAATCTTAAGATCGGTTAAGCGATTGTTACAAATTTTAATTTTAATTTGAAGTGAATGAAATCTTGAGTCGATGAAAGTCTGATTCATATCAACTTGCAAATATTTATATATATATGTACATTAGGGCGGAGTACTTTTTCGGAACAAAATTTTCGACGAAATTGTATAGCAAATTCAAACTCTACGATTAGTTCTAAGCAAAAATGGCGAACAAACTATTTACCAAAAATTACGTTTGACGCTCCCAATTTTCAAAAGAAAAAGCATTATATTGTGACTTTTTTGGTCGAAATGTATCAAGCATAACGAACTTGTGAAGTAGTTTCTTAAATATGAAGAAAACGGAACATTTTTTAAATGGAAAATTACGGTGATTTCGTTTCTTCCAAAAAAAAAAATGTGTTTGATGTTACACTCACCCCTGTAAAAGGGCATTATTTTGACTTCTTGTCTTTGTATAGCTCACGCATTTCATAATATTGTCGTTTTAAACACCGATCTGATTTTTAGGGCAACCATCTCCCCGGACGAAGCTTCACAGGGCAGAGAATATGCTTTTTTTGCCTTACAAGAGTGTGACATTTTAAGAAATGAACACAAAATTTGTTTCCCCCTTTACCTTTAATTTAAAATCGAACCGGAAAAGAAAAAGGGACATTCAAAAGGCAACATTTTTTGGTAGAAACGAAATCACCATTATTAATTACGATCAAAAAAAAACTATATACACTGACTTTTCGTTTATAAATTGGGAGGATCAAACGTCATTTTTAGTTTATAGTTTGTACACTTTTTTGGAAATTAAATCACTCCGCCACAAAGAACATGTACAAGTATCTATATATTTACATACAAATTTATCTGAATGCATGCATATCGTCATTTAAAGTACAAAACCGCGTATCGTGGTTCTGCAAAACCTCGTTACTGACATTTGCGCCAAAAAAGATATTTGCTCACCGGAAGCTCCTGGCATCAAGACCTTATACATTCACACTAAAATATCGATACTTAGTCATTAGAAGAAGAGATAATTGGGGATAAATGAGAGATTCGTTATTAAATAAGACAAACTTTACTCTCACCTATAAAATTTTGGCAACCTCACACACGAGGCTTTGCATTTTCTTGACACGCGGTTTTGTACTTTAAACGACGATATGCAAAGTTAGCATTGTTGTAATAGCTTTTAGAATTTTGCATTCTTTACACACCTTGCATTGAAGTGGCACGCGCTGGTGTTGACAATTGGCTTAGCTTAACAATCGGAGCTAAGGAACGAGTATTTAGCTTCAAAATAGCGTTATGCTTTTTTGCATGTATGCTTCTGCTACCTGCTATTCAAATGTTTATTATTTATTTAGTTCAACATTTGTAACCGGGATGTATTGAACATGTTCCCAGTCCATATATATCAAACAAAATTTACAAAAAAAAAGGATATTAGCTAAAATTTGCTATCGAAAAAGCTTACTGGCCTGCAAACACTCGGCGCAGACTTTTGTGGGCAGACTAGCTTAAGGAAATATGTTCGACGGAGAGTGGGTCGAAAATTTTTATATGGGGCTGCTTATCCTTCTATGGTGGAGTACCCATACATAATGTAAATAACATAATAGACCGAAACGGTTATGCGAATAATTTGAAAACATAATGATCAGTGTTGCCGTTTTAGCCCTTTGGTGGCTAGAATTGGCTACATAAATGTAAAATTGCCACCAGCCCTTTGGGAAAGTTATTCGTCCTTGACATGAAACAAATTTTGTATGATTTTCATTAATTTCATTTATGTAATGGCGTTATCTTTTCTCGAAATAGTGTTCCATTTATTCGGCCCTGTGCCAGGGCTGTTCTTTTCTCAACATGTTGCTTTCTGGCCCGACAAAATTACATAATTTTCTGCCCTTGTTAATTCATAAGGGGGTGAGTGTTGCCCAGCAGATTTTGATACATAAATAAATTTTTACGTTGTAATGAAAGTGAGTTGTATACACTGAGAAAAGAGTTTAGTTACGTCAACTAAATATGTTTTTCTCAACACATGATTTGTTTATAGTTACATTATTTGTTTATAGTTACCCAATCATGTGTTGAGAGGAATATATTTGGCTGACTTTTTTCTGAGTGTAGTTTTATTAAACTTAATAAAATAAATTTCGAACAAGTTAGTGGAGTCATGAATTTTCAAGTTAGCATTTTGTTTGTACTTTTCTCGTACGCAAAACGCAACCTTTTTAGAAGGCGCAGGAGAACATTTAATGTTACCATATATTGAGGGAACATTTTAAATGTGTAAAGAATATGGTATACGATTTTTATATATTTTTTCCGTTAACTATTATTATTATTTTTTATTTTTGTGTGTTACTCAATGCACACATATAAACTAGAATGTGTTGTAACACACTTACATATGTATATATAAGTAAAAAACTAAAATTAGCTAAATTTTTTAGCTACATGGAATTCTTTGTAGCTAGTTTTGCCCTTTTTTTAAGATGATTTTAGCTACCACTAAAAATGTTTCCCGCCAACACTGGTAATGATAGCGTACAGACTTTAAGAACTGCGAAAAATAATTGAGGTATAATTTTTAAATGTATTCAGAGTGATCATAGCCATTGCTCTTTTGTAGTTAGTTACCTTTGATACCTATATATACCTCGATATAGTATCTGAATAGAAATAAAAAATACTGTAAAATTTATTTGAGGAATTTTGTAGATAAAAATTTCGTTTAAATATATGGGCAAATTACCGGAACCATGCGATTCAACTCTAAAAAAAACGCAAATTTTTAAATTCAACGCACACAAATAAATTATGCATAAAATTGTTTGAAATCCATTGAGGGAACATTAAATTCTTGTGTGATTCATTCTTCTCAAATGCTTAAAGAGTTATAAGTAAAAAACGATAATTTTTTAAAACTCAATGCTAGCGTGGTTTTTGTCCGATTTCAAAAATTTTCAAAACAGTATTTTAGAAGGTCAGGCGCAATGTGTATGTTAAATTTGGTACAGATTGGTGAAGTGGTTTTCGAGATACAAGCATTTGACAAAAGTGGTCGGGCCGCGCCCAGTTTTCAACCAAATTTACGAAAAACTAATTTTCGCTTAAATCCATTGAAAATATCATTTTGGAGTAAATATTTAAAAATTCGTTAACCGTACTGCCCAAAGATCTGAAAATCCTTACATAATAATACAAATTCATACAAATTCGTGGCCGTATTTTAGATAAAAATTATTTTATGTATTTAGCATTTTCAACGAACTTTATGAAGAATGTTATCTAACGATCACGCTTAATGCCAACTTGTTATGTTCTAGTCTGCCAGTGTGCCATCAAAAACACGAAATTTTGAATCCATTCACGCAAAGACTTATTCAGACAATATTTTTTATATTTTCAGTATTTTCAAAGGCAGCTGTAAAAGGTCTTATTTTTTTCTTTAATGTGTAATTATGTAATATGTATATAAACCAATAACAACAATTTAGTAATTGCTGAAAGTTCAAAATGGAAAAGAACTTAAAATATTACATTTTTGATAATTACGAGTAACCGGTTTCAAATTGTTACAGTTTATTTCCATCGGGGAGCACATATTTTTCTCAATGCCTAATGCATTTTCCAATATTACATTTAATATTTGCCATGATTTTTGAAAGTCTCCTATTTACGCTGAAAAAGTTATACTCAAAAAACTTACAAAAGGTAGCCAAAGTGACACGTCATATAGTTATTTTGATTACTTTGATTGCTTATAAAAATTAAAATGACATTATTAGATAGTAATTAAATAACCTTTTATTCAGCAAAAAAAATTTCAACTGTTGGTAGTAGAGGTTTGAACTTTAAAGATATATATATAGATTAATAAACATATACGCTAGCGTGATGTTGCAAAAAACAGGAGTGGATTTTTACTTGGGTTACAAAATTGCAAAACTCTGCGAATTGGGTAAGACTATTTGTATAAAATTTTTTGTAATAATATATTAAATATTTAAGGTTAATATTCCAAGTTTTTAAATGTAGAAATCTTTTCTGCTTTTCGTTTAATCATTTGAACTCTCTGACGTGACGTTACCTGACGTTACGTTACTAAAATTTCCATTGAAAAGGTATTGTTTTTGAACGAATTTTTAACGCCAAGAAGACATGCATTTTATGTCGAATATACTTTTTATTTTGACATCAGCGCCCCTAGCGGTTCCATTTTTTGCAAATTCATCGTCTACTACGTTTGAACTAAAACGCCAGATTAGAAACAAATCAGAGCATAAATACGGCCAGTATATTTTATAAAAAGAAGCCAAATTATAGACTTTCCGCTGCGAAACAGCCATATGTAAGAATTCGAAATTATGAAAAAAAAATAAAAATTAAATAAAGGCATACATATTGGACCACCAAAAACGCATATTTGGTGGAACTGATTAAATCGAAAAAAAAATTTAAAACACCCGCTCCGAAAAAAATGTCTGCGTTCGCTCCTGCACAGCATTCAATTGTACATATTTCAAATTTGTCACTTCACCCAGCAGGTTGGCTCAACTAAATAAACAATGATATTTGCATTGATTGTAGGGCATTTGTCTTAATTTAATCGAAAATGTGCAGTTGATGTTAAGAATTTTTTTTTTTTATAAACTGTGAAAATGTTCGCCAGTTCGTTGCTTTCTATGGCTTTCACTTCGCACGATTTTGCAGTTTGCCCAGACGGCTGATCTAAATTTTGGCACTAAAAACGACAAAAAGTATTCAAAAGAAACAAATGAGTATTTGCAAGCTTTTCTATGTGAGAAAAATTATAAAAAATTGCAAGACTGTTTGAAGATTTTTGCAAAACAAAAGGTAACAGATACATACATATGTAGGTCATAAATACTATGTTTGCACACTCATTATGCTAAAGTTGCTGTAGTTTGTTCTTTTATAATCGACCATTTTTACTATTTTGCGTTTTTTAAGTTCGTCTCACTTCGCTAATGTATGTATGTGCATATAACAAATTCCAATGATTTGAAAAGTGGCCATTCAACAGCGTCGCACCGTTTCAATTGTTTGAACGTTAAGCATAAAAATGGCTTCATTTGGATAGGGGCACACCAATCCAATTATTATAAATACCTGCATACAGATTTTAAATATATATGTACATAAATATATACATATGTAGATACTCGTATATGTAAGGAGTAATGTGACGAGAATTTTAGCGAATTATTTAATGGTGTATTCGTTTCTATCGAAAAATGTTACCTTCTCATTGTCCTCTGAGCACAAACACTAACAACCGGGCAATGAAAAGGCAAAATTGTTTGTAGAAACGAAAACGCTATAAGCTTTTAAGTAGTAAACAATATCACGGCAGACGATTTATTTTTGTTGCTTTTGGCCTTAGGCCAATTAGCATGCATACATATTTACATAAATACTTAGGTGTGCATATGGTATAAATGTATGTATGTTTGTATGCACATCCGTGAAGAAGAAGAACCCCACATAAGCAACGCTATTTCGGTATAGCAGTATGCACTTACCCCGGCTAAAACGCCCCCTACCTCTTTTGACCGCTTCTTAGGTTGGTTTAAATCCATTTTAATACGTATAGCGTGGGCAAATATCTCCTGCCAGGGTCAAAAGAAAAATATCTGTTCCGTTTTTTCCTTCACACCTGTGTAGGTCGAGCAGTACGGCGATCATTATCATGCCCCGAAAGAAATTTTTTTATCTCCTTCAGCTCCTCCAGCCATTTTTCAAACCAGCTTGTATGCCCATCTCCCCTTCCTTTATTCGTACAATTGTGTCGCACAGATTTATTATTGCCGATGGCTTTCTTCTACTGCGATCTACATCTGAGATTGATATTTTCACCAACGTATGTATGTATGTATGTGAGAGTACTTTGTCGTATATTTTGCGAAATCTGGATAAAAAGTTGGTAATTTCAAAGCGTAAGGTTTTATACGCATTGCTTCGGGTCAAATCGGAGAAGCGTAATGTGAAACAAAAAGTTCCGCCGTTTTTGAGCATAATTCTAAACTTTAACACCCCACGCAAATGTATGTATGCACGTTCAAGGTGGGTGCACCATCTCTGTATCGCTTAGGTTTACCAGATTTAATTTTTCGCCCTGGGATTCAGGGGCTTCCGATCGAATATCTGTGCTAAGGGTTTGCCACTAAAATCTCAGGGTTTGGGAAAAATTTTCAGTTTTTATACATTTGTTTTTTTTTCATAGACCAATTTCATTTTTACTCCAAAGAAACTTACTTTCCGCTAGCTTAGAATGAAAAGTTGCTAAGTCCATTTTTTGTGAAAACCCATATTTTCGCTATCGAACGCTCCTCGTTGGAAGTTTAGCTTTGCATTAAATATACAGAATGTTGTATTAGAAACCTTGCAAAATACTTGAAGAAAATGATTATAAGAAGTTTGTTTACATCTGCTGTAACATTCGAGAAAATGGACTTAGCAACTATTCACTCTAAGCTAGCGATATGTACATACACACCTACATATATACCGTTATCTTAATTAACAAAGGTCCTAGCAAACAGTTTTTTCGAAACTGCGTTTATCATAAATTTTGGTAGGACATACTAAAATATACCGTCTCTAAAAAATTGTAACGTGTTGGTATCAAAAACAGTGTAGTTATGCCACTTTTTAAAAACCCCTATCTGCAGTTTTTGATTTGACTAATTTTTATAAAGGTTTTTGCTGCTTCTGTGAAAGAAAAAATTTGCTGGTTAGGGCCTTTGTGAATTAAGGTAAGGATATGTATTTTATCAAATTATTTTTACCGTAATCTCTGTTTATCTAGAAAAGGTACTTTTGAGCCTGTAACGTTGAAAATTTTGCTAAAATTTACAATTTTATTTTTACTATTGAGATAAAAATTAGACATAATGAATTTTACTATATTCACACTATTTTTTTAGTATATCCTGAATGTTCTCACATAGGCTGCAAGAAAAAATGTCCAAAATAAGGGTAAAGAATTTTTTGTTGAGTTAAAGTTTTGTTGAAAAGATAATTATGTATTTAACGTGCAGCAGCAATGGAAATCATTATGCATTTTGGTAATTATTTATATGTTACAAATTATTATTTTTTTTCAAAGTTTTCCTTGGGCAATCCAGCACCAGGCGTTGGAAAGCTCATACCACTCATGCCACCATAGTGCCCGTTGATAAAACCAGCCCACCTGTAGTTGTGTTGTTCAGTGAAAATAGATCTAAGCCATTGCTCGTTTGAAGATGGTTTACTTGCCGGCATTTTGAGCAGAATTGATTGACTAAATAAAGATTTGTTCCTATCCTTGTCAGCCCATTCGCAATGCTGTTTCCCGGGATAGGAATATTTCTTTCCCCAAAAATCCAGACTACATTCTTCGAAGAGTTGTATAATCTATCTACATAGATATAGTATCTAGAATTTTAGTGCCAAAATTCAGCTTATCTTCAGATTTTTGCCCAGCATCATTTCAGCAAGACTAGTTTTTACCGCAAGAAGAAGCGAGAGATCTTCATGAGCTTTGGTGGGGTGAAAGGCAAGGCACCCTTTCCATTTGGATTTTGGACGTGTTTTTGTCTAGCCTCTTCTGTGAGCCCGAAGAAAGTGATGGCCCTTAGGTCAGCTATTTATAGCTGATGCGCTATGTGTATCTATAAGGCCACTCTTCAGCTCTTACAACACAATATAGAGGGTGTCCTAGAGCACCCGTCCACCCCCTCTAAAATGTAGGAAATTTTTTTTATTGAATAACGCAAAAATAGCACCTACTAAATCGGGGTTGCTCTATCTTTTCTGATTTCGACCGGAAGTGGGTTAAACTGAACGGAAGTCTATTTACTTCTCCCTGAGAGTCTATATTGAATTACGTACTCACTAATCTAAGAAAAACACAGATCTACATATCTAGCCACTGACGTGTGCCCATCTCGAAGGTAATTAAACATATAGTATGCTCATCTGCTTTTCCTAAGAAATGTTTATTTTTAATTATAAGGTCAGTTTCCACATACATATTTGGTATCGTTGGGTATTTCGTTTGATATTCTTCTAACCACAGAAACCCAAAGAAATCATCAGAACTGGTGCTAGCTTTCATTGTCATGCAAAATTGTTGACACGCTCTCAGCGCACAATGAATCCAAATAAAAAGGCTGAGAGTCCTCTAATTAATGCATAGATTTATTAAAGAAATTAAAAAAAGAAATGTTAACTTACTCAAAATGCATATTTATACGAGTGTACCAACCACAAAGCAATGAAAATATATCGTTATTCATAGGTTCCGTTGTATGAACAAAAAAAATATTTAAATAATTTTGTTGTTTTTCTTGCAGACCAAATATGTGGCCACCAAAGGCTATCAAAGGATTTCAGCAGCAGCCAAGGAGGGCGCTAAACATATGTAAATTTGGCAGCACAGCACTTGGCAATGACCTACAAAAATTATTTATTCAAAGATTTATTTTTTGGTTGCCATGTGTGTGGGTATGCTTACAATTATGTTTGTTTGTATGTTTCGTCGATTATGTTAATTTACAGAGAAACAGACAGACAGATAACCAGCCAGAAATCCTGTTTTCCATCGCCACACTGCGCTGGTAAGTGATTTTATGCTAAATGCGCACGCGTCACACTCTAAAAAAATATGATAATAATGCAAATAAACGGACTAGAGAGCGCGCAAACGAATACATACATATATACGAACTCGTAAAAGGCAAGGAAGGACTTGTTGCATAATTATGCGCGTCACTTCGAAAGCCACGAAACGCTGGTGCTACTAAAAAATTTATGAATGAAAAATGCAGAGAAGGCCGCAGTGTAGTTTTACGCTACTAAACTCCTGCCGCTTTGGCTCAATCATATGGACAGCGACCAATAGTGTTGGCATATCGGCAGCGACGGTGCGCCGCAGCGGCAACATCAACGCTGCATGGTGGTACGAGTGGCACCGGAGACGCGGCTGCTGCAGCATGGTGATGATAATGAGCAAGATTAGCATTTCGCAGCTTTTTCGTGAACCGTTTTAACCGCACCAAAGTAAGCAGGGGCACGCCAAGCCAAGCCAAACCAAACCAAAACCTCAGCTTCTACCGTAATTATTATTAGCATAATTTTTTGTGTTCATCTCCGGGTGCACATTTCACTTATTGTTTATTTTGTAGTAGGTATTTTTTGTATATAGGTAGTACGAGTAATTATGTGTGGTGCAGCGGCGTCGGTCATTTCACAGCTTTTCATTGAGCACGTCGATAAAAGACGAAAAGAGTCCATCCACTGCAGCGTTCGCTGGCTATCAGTGTTGCCAGAACTTTTTGGGCCGACCGGCTAATTTGGTCAAAAAATAGGCTAAAATGTTTCAACTAAAATTCACATGTTTTATTTAAATATATCACAAGTAAAAAGACTGGTAAATTCATTAAATAAATCACAAAAACAGAGACTGGTAAGTTCATACAAATTTCTGTTTACTAAATGAAACTGTCGTTATACGTAGCTAAGCTTTAAATCAGAAGTAATTTTTGTTTTACTCAAATACAAAACAGATGTTAATTACAAAGTTATGACGTTTTTTCTATTGAAAAATTTTGCCTTCTTAGCCCCTTTTGCAGAACAGCAGGTTATCCATATAACTTGAAGTTTGCCGGTTAAATTGATAAATTGGCTTCCACAATCAATGGTTAGGAGTAAAATTAGAGTCAAATCGTTAAATATTTAGCCCAGAAATTTTCGAATATAAACTTGCTAACTCTACGTATGTCAATTTTGTCTGTAACAGGAATAAAAAATTTAAATTTCAAAAATCTTTAATTTAAAAAAAATGTTTTTAAAAATTTTGTATTTTAATTCAAATAACAAATGTAAAAAAAAACGTCAAAAAAGAGAGAGTGGTGCCTACTTATTTAGAAATCCCTCGGGTTCTTAACACTGGGCCAGTTTTCAAACTTACAAGACATTATCTGGTTTAGTAATATAAAAATTTAACTCTGATCTACTTAATGTAAGCAATTTTCGAAGGTTAACTTGCTAACTCTACATATGTAAATTTTATCTGTAACAGGAATAAAAAAAAATTTAAATGTCAAAAATCTTTAATTAAAAAAAAATATTTTTAAAAATGTTATATTTAAATCCAAATAATAAATGTAGAAAAAGAGAGAGTGACGCCTACTTATGTATGTATTTAGAAATCCCTCGGGTTACTTAAGACTGGGCCAGTTTTCTATGCTGCAAGACATTTTCTGGTTTAAGAATGTAAAAATTTAACTCTGATCTACTTAACTCTCTATTTATATATTTAGCTTTGGATTTTCTGCAAGTGGGCCTTATATTGTAAGATTTGCACTAGGTTACTTTTTGTCCTGCAAAATGGCTATATTAGTAGAGACTATTGCACTTTAAATTATTTTATTATTATTATTTATATTTTGAGAAATGAGCACGTAGAGCTGTGAAAGGGCTAAGGGAAAAGGGCAAGGAGAAAAGAAATCGCCATTCACTTATGTATATCGAAAAATCTGGTAACTTTTTAAGTTATTAACAATTAACGTATTCAATTTTATTTTGATGTCCATATATTCGAAAAGTTTCCGTTTTTAATGATCTGCTTACGCTCTGAAAATGCCTGATACAATTATTCGCAGATATCGTCATACCAGTGAGTTTTGCTTTGAATCGAAAATCGAGATTTTTTATTCTCATTAGGTATTTTCTAAGTATTGTGAATAACACTTCACACTTACATTGAAGACTTTCTTAATATAACAAAAATTTTGTGAGGAAAATCCCCTTTCTTCTTTGGAAAAAGTACAGTGATCGAAGTATAAAGTGAGACGTGAAATTTTCGCAAGTTTTGGCTATTTTTCTTTAGTGTATTTAATGTTTATTTGTCATTATGAAAATATAGCTGATTACTTAACAAACATCATATAAATCCAAACTTCAGACTCTGTGCAAGAATTATGAAAATTCTGCAAAATTTGTCCAAAATGTGTAACTTTTTAATCAGCATCTTTAGTAAAATTATAGTATGCAGTTTTATAGAACATTAAATTTTAGTATAATATGGTGCGAATTTGATGGTGTTCCGCTTTTTTTCATATAGAAATATTAATGAACGAATGAATGAATTAAAAAAAACCCCCAAAAATCAACGGCAAGTGCTAGGTACTTTAAAATTGTACTTTATTATACTAAAACTTTGAATTTTTAAATATGCTGATTAAAAGTAAAAAATTTTGGTGAAATTTCGGATTAGGAAAAACTGTCTTTCAATTTTATATAGCACAGTCCGACATGAACATTTTTTCCGAGATAAGGATAACCATTCTTATTAGATTTGAGACGCTAAATTTGTAAAAATGCGAACTTATACATTTGAATTTTAAGAGAACAAGGCCTATAGCAAAATCTGCTAAAAACGACTAATTTTTTTTTTATTTGCGAAGCAGCTAACAAATCGGCTGCCGGCTAAATCGAATTCTCTCCGGCTGTTTGCTATCGCAACCGGCTAAATCTAACCGAAAAAGGGCTAAATTGGCAACACTGCTCGCTACACTTGACTTCATTTGGCTTGACGGCAGCGCTAAATTTTATAAACGTCTTCATAAATTTTTTATTACTTTGCAAATATTTGTCTTTATGTGCATTTGCTACAATTTAAATAAAACATTTGTATTCATATTTTTTCTGCATAACTTGCTTTTTTGCGTTTATAGGTTATGCATATGTTAAGAATCTAAATGTCTGCTATTTATTGCCATTATTGTACGATTATATTTTTTTGGAGTTTTGCCTTTGTTTGCGTTGAAATATTTCTACAAAGAGTTAATTAATATTTTTAAATTAAAAAGGTGGGCAAGCGGCTGCCGTTACTGTAGATACACGCTTACTGTATGTACATATTTGCATATATCAATGGAAGCTCATAGAGTGCTATAGGAATTTTTTTTATTTTCTCAATTTATTTTTTAAGTAAATAGTTACTCTAAGTATCAAATGTTGTTCAAAAAAAATAATAATAAATACAGGCGAAACCCATTATTCCAACGGTGAGGCTTGGTGGAGTTTCGGTGATTGTATTTGGCTGTATTTCGGCGAATGGAGCGAGCTCAGGTTGTGGACACAAATATGGATCGGTTTGTTTATCTAGACATTAGATATTATGTTCAATTTGAAAAATTTAGTTTAATAGGAGAACGATCCTAAGCATGCATCCCCAATTGTTGAGGAGAGGCGTTTTTTTTTTTGAACAAAACACAAAACCACGCGTGCAGAAATCAGCACTCAGACTGCACTGCCGTCCATGGTATTATTTTCGTGTTCCCTTTTAATCTGTTTAAATCTAAGCGATTTATGAATAAATCTGAGTAGATTGTGGGATTTAAAAAGCTAAGATTTTCGTTTTCAACTCACCGTTGACAAAAGCCTTATACCTAATCATTGCAAAGACGGAACCTCAAGCACAAAAAGTGTTCCACCGTCACATGCTCTTCAAGGCAGGAAGAGTAAATGGGGTTGTCATGTATGCCTATCACAGTCAGGGGTTAACTACACGAGAAATGATCAGTCAACAGCCCCACAAATTGCCTTCTGTAGTCCCATCCGCTCAATGACAGCAAATACCCAAGAAGATGATCTGTGATTGAGGACAACTCGAGTTTTGCCCACCTGCAGTCCATCGAAACCTTCCAGTAATTTCTGAGCGAAATATTTACCGAGTTTCTGATGGTGGCTGCGATGGTCGACGGTAGGAGTGCTATAACTGGTTGCGAACCAAGGAATACCTGGTCAAAGCCCTCTCCGGGCAAATGGCCTGCTGCCTAATTAACAGGTACTCCCGAGTGACCTGACATCCAGAGTAAAATAAGTTCGTTATGTTTACTCGTTAGGAAGTGCTTAGACGGCTGGACAATGCCTTGCGTGCAGCTAGGTTGTCACTACAGACACGTAAACTTTTACTTATCCAGATATGGCGTTTTGAATCGAATTCCGAAATTGGACGTTCTTGAAAAATCTTCTGAGATAGGGCGTTTTGTAACCGGCTGCCGAGAAAGGTCGATCTTCTGTTCAACCGTCGATATATGCAAAGTTAAAACACGAAGGGATTTTTTGTTCAGAAAACCAGAAATGCATCGTTCGTTCGATTCTCAAAAATGGGGTGTCCAATTAAAGAGCTTAGACTGTAGATGTGCAAACCAGTTTTATTTTTACGAAACGAGTTGCCACCTTTTAAGCAATTAAACTCAAATTATTCAACAATCAATACCATCAGATCCACAGCGTTAGCTCGGCTTGTAGATGTGCAGTACGAGTTTACCTTTTCCAAAAAAGTTGCCACTTTTTAAAAAATTAAGTTCAAAGTATTTAAAAAGGTACATCAATTATGTATTACAAAACGAGTATCAATCGAAATGATTTTTAAAAGCTTTTTTTCTTAACTTAATTTTAGGAGGGTTGCCACCTGTTTAAAACATTAAATTAAATTTGTATTAAGGGAATCAGGTAATAGAAATATGTATGAACATACGGGCGCCAGGCGAAAAGAGTGTATTATGCATTTGCGACCTTCTTAAACTCTTTTCGCCACATGTTTAAAAAATTATATTCAACCTAATTCATCAGTTAATTTTAATATGTATTAAAATTTCCAACGAAAGGATATTCGTGAAAGTTTTAGCTCGAAACTACTTTTGAAGAGGGTTGCCACTTGCTCAAATGGTCGAATTTATGCGCAAGTTATTTTTAATATTATAATACTGATGGCGAGCGAAGAAATGTTAAGAAATCCTTAGTTTGAACACTAAAAATTTTCTCGACGTGTTTGAAGAGAGTTTCCACCAGTTTAAATAATCAAATTATTTGAAAATCAAATGAATAATTATTTTTTCTTAACTTTATTTAGAGAGTTGCCACATACTTTAAATACCAAATTCAACTTAACGTTAATTAAAATATTCAACAATCCTTTTATTGAGCTTGAGGCCGTTTTTAAATGAAAAAGATAGGAACAAAACCGTTGCTCTTTATTGTAGTCAACTCGATGAAGGAGTCTGATGAGGAGATGTGGTGATCTCCGAAGTAGCAAATATAGATTATTGTGGTTTTTTTTTCATAACATTTTTCATTTAACTGTTATTAACAAAAAGCAAAAAACCGTTAGTTCAAATACGCTTCACAATGTCAGACGAAGGAAATTTTAGAAGGTTTTAGCTTGCAAATACTTTTGAAGAATTAGAATTTTTTATCCGTATAGGGTGATTTGAAATTTGCTGATATTAGAAACCGACACTATGCCAGACCTCTCTTCACTTAGAAGCTGCTGCATTGATTTAGATGAAATGAGGCACTCGGATCGCTTATAGCCCT